TGGAGCAATTTCCTTCTGGCAACCTGTTGTGTTGGGTTCTTGTTTATGAAGCCTGGGGGAGGAGGCAGAGTTGTGCAAGCAGATACCCCAGAGACAATTGAGTTCAGTTTCCCACCCCTTTCCCATCAGTGCTCCCAAAGCAGTGGACTTGTGACATTAAACAACAAATTGCATACACTTTCACACACCACCTCACTCTATCTAATGTGGGATAGAGCTGGCTTTCAGTTTCCTCAGCTTTTGCCTGACCTGATTTGGCGATCAGACTGATAATTAATGAACAGGTGCTTTTGCCATTTTTCAGACCTTACTGTGGTATACTGTTAAGCTGTGTGTGTGTGTGTGTGTGTGTGTGTGTGTTTCTAACAGGGATGTGGATGAAATTTGGTCCAGGTCGTATTTAAAGAAATATTTAATTTTCAAAAGATGTTGAAATACAGTCACCTTTTGAAATGTACGTTTCTCTGAATTTTGCAAAGCAGTTTTCCAGTCAAGTAATGTGTACACAAACACATTTCTACAGATAAGGGGAATTGCTTCCAGTAAAATAGCTTTGTGAAAATGTGTATATCGGGCAAAACTGCATACAAAACTATACATTAGGAGAAATTTGCAGTAAATGCTGCTGAATTTTCACAATAACCTTTTTTCTTTTTTAAAAAATCACAACGTGATGTGGAAATGTGGAAAACTGAAGAGTGTAAATATAAGAAATTGAGGACTCAGCTATACAGCTGCAAATAAACATTTTAAATGTGCTGTAAAGTGCAATATACAAGTGTGACACTAGATGCCGGCTGTGAGCTATGACAAATTCAACGTATTTTTCAAAACTTTTTTTTAAAGAAAGCATTTTCCCAGCATTTTTTAATATGTATTCCAGATTCCAAAACTGACAGATTTGCCCACCCCTAATTTCTAATTGCACAATACAAGAATAAAGTTCTAAGTCATTTCTCTAGCCTTTCAAGCACATAAGCACAATAGTGCAATTAGGTAATTTTAGACTACAGCACTTAGTCTGTGTCCTATGGGGACACAGTAATGTTTATTACTTCAGATTTTGGGAAACCAGCCCTGTTGTGCTGGGGGGCTGCTCCCATTATTCTGCTTTAAGGGGCCCTAAAGTTCTACCCCCCAATCCAGGCCTGATGGCACCTCTGAATATGGGTACAAGAGTAGAGTAAGGAGGGCTGTTCTCCTCCAGCCTCTTTCATTCAGGGGATTCCAGTTATTTCAGCTATAAGTTTAAGCCTGCTTGTTTCCTTTCTCCCACTAATACAAGTAGATGGGATAGTGAGACTTTTACATTCCAGGCAGGTTTCAAGCTGTCAGCTGGGGGTGGGAGGGGGGGGGGAGTCAGCAGTTCAAATAAAAGCCACTTTATTTCTGATCACAGCAAACCCATGTAGTCTTCTTGGATCTAAGCGGGATGAAATGTTGAGATCTTAAATGTCTGCTTTTCAGCAGCAGTTGAAATTCTTCAAAAGCCCTGGAGTTATCTGGTAGTTGTGTGTGTGCATGTGCTGCTTTCTGTAGGATTTAGGGTGACACAGGAAATCAAGGCTGCAGTCTCTATATACACCTACTGTGGAGTAAGTCTCATTGGACTCAATAGGATTTATATTCGATTTTACTTGACTAGGATCGTGCTGTTCGTCATGCAGGTGGAGTGGTCTGGAAAATAATCCCTAGTAGCTTTGGAAACACTTTAAAATGTTCTACAATGTGACTTTATTTTTCTTTGTACAGACTCTTCATAATAAACATGGTTGTTGTTTTTCCAAACTTACAAAATTCAATAATAATTCCAGAAGTTGCTCATCTAGTGTTGCAGAGCTGAATACTAAGCAGGAGACTTACTGCCACTTACCATGGTCAGGAGGGGGGCAAGGAAGTAGGAAGGAAGGGGCTGTGTAATTGTACTGGCAGAGCCAATCTGGTGCTTCTGCTGCTGTGTTCACATAGCCCTGACCTCCATCTGATTTGCCCCTCCCCCCTACAAATAAAATAAAACTTTAGTTAATTGGAAGGAACAAATAGCTATGGAGATCTGATTATATAAAAACAACCCCCTCCCCAAGAGAGCTTTTATAACCAGTAAAACAACCGTCACATTAAACCATAGTCTCTATCTTTAATATACTAGCTGAATATAAAAATAAGCTCATGTAACCAACTGATTAAAACTATGAATATTCCCAAAGTCATATATTTAGTTATGACAGACAAGAAGTTTATTGGTAGTGTGTATGTCATATTCCTTCTCATACGCCCTGCATTTTCACTCTCTGTATACCTCTCTATTCAAGCATTCCAGAGTTACACTTTAATCATGAGTCATAGATGTGTGAACCTTCAGAGAGACAATTCATGGACTCATTCGGAAAAGCAGCAATATTCATTTGTAATCAATATCCAATTAATTTTAATTTGCCAGGTGTGACAATTTCCTCCAAGGATTCCAGGGGACCCTGAATCATTCTTCCTTCTGCACAAGAATTATTAGTTTCACTAATTCATTGTAGCCCTAGTTTCTTGCAGGACTCAGACAGTTTCCAAGTCCACTCCCCCCTCCGTGTGGAGAAAAGCAGCTAAAGAGGTGATTTTGTGTAGGGAAAATGACCTAAGGGGAAGACAAACTTGCCACCCTGCCAGTGGTACACTCAAACCTCCAACCTCCCACAGTTATTTCTCATTTTAAAACAAAAAGTCACACAGGGTTGCACACAATGTGTAGTTTGGCCCCTGAGCCTCAGAAGACTAGGCTATGCAATAATGTACTCCCAACAAGTTTTGATCATTTAACCAAACCTCTGAGACCTAAAATATATCTATATATGGTGGCACTGAGTTTGAAAACTGAGGTTTGTGAAGTTCTACGTTTGTGATTTAAAGACAGAGATTTACTTCCATATTTAAGAATCTGAAGCGGGGAAACCCTGACAACTGGGTTTGATGGCAAATCAAATGTGGTAGATAGATGGATGGATAGATGAATGGATGGGAGAGGAAGACAGAAGAGGAAACGTAGATTCATTTTTTAAAGTATAAAGAACTATTTCATTGTCCCAACAGATCATTTCCTGGTTGATACTGATAAACTCTTTTTCAGTGTCTCCGAGGACAGATATGAGTCCCCATACATATCAATAGAGAAAGCAAATATTGTGATATAGATGAGATTGGCACAGTTAGGTCCACCCGCAACCGACATACCACAAAAAACAAATCTATAGAGTTATTGCTTTCTTCCCCCCGTAGAAAGGAAAAACAGGCCAGTGAGCATGCTCAGTGAATCTGGAATGCTGAGCTCTGCTGGGGGAAACTTAAGGAAAAACGGGGTGGGGAAGAATGGAAGAATGGAAGAATGGAATGGAGTAGCACTAGGCACTGCAAAGTTAATTGTAGTCTACCACTTTAAAATATTAAATTCCTATATTGGAGACTTGAATAAAGTGGTTTCTTATGTTCTTTCCTCATTTAGCAAAGCTAATCAGAAGCTTGTTCTAGGGAGTTCAAAGAAAATTGAATGACTATTCTAACAGAACTATTTATATATAAAAAGGAGGTGTTGTTGTTGTTGTTGTTGTTACCACTATTTTAAATTCCATTCTCAAACTCCTTCTCTTCCTCATTCACACTTAAGACGCTTCCTCTTCCTTATTGCACACCTTCCTTTCACTTCACCAATCCCTTTACTCACTGGTTTTGGCAGGCCAGTGGAAAATGAGACCCACAGCCCAGTGGAAATCTGGAGTCTGTTGCTGCTTTTGTATCTCTTGCCCACCAAATCTAAATTGTTAGAAGGTGTTGGGTCACCCCTTTACTTAAAAACACCAGGTCCTCTTCAGAGAGCAGTGCACGGAGGCCAACATCGCCCTTAACATTTTAAACTTGGTAGTCCATCTACTACAGCAACCTTCTGCAACTCTGTGTCCCCCAACTTAACCTCACCATTGATTCAGCTGTCTGGGAATGTTGGGAATTTTAGTGCAGCAAACCTGGGCACCCAAGGCTTCTGGAATTAAGTCAGGTAATAGAGTGCAGAGGCAGGCTTGATGTAAATGCCATAAGAAGCCCAACACCTTTTAACCACATTCAGTTCTTCATCAGAGGATATTTCATAGAATCGTAGAGTTGGAAGGGACCCCGAGGATCATCTACTCCAGGCACGTCCAACTTCGAGTAGGGTGTGATCTACAATCCAATATCAAAAACTGGCAGTGATCTACCACCCTCCGAAGTCATTTAAGTTAAATAAATAAATAAATCTTTATTTCACAGATACCGTAGTTGTTTTTGGATATCGTCATGACAGATCCAAATAGTTGTTAGATGGACAAGTAACTACAGTGGTGTACCTCGGATTAAGAACTTAATTCATTCTGGAGGTCCGTTCTTAACCTGAAGCACCACTTTAGCTAATGGGGCCTCCCGCTGCCGCCACGCCGCTGCTGCGCAATTTCTGTTCTCACCCTGAAGCAAAGTTCTTAGCCCGAGATACTATTTCTGGGTTAGCGGACTGTAACCTGAAGCGTCTGTAACCTGAGGTACCATTGTAAACGAATGAGAAAAGTCAAACTATATTTTTATTTTAGTTTACACAGATCTGAGGAGCCAGTCGGAGTGCGCCAGGCTTCTCTGTCTTTCCCCTACTATTGCTTTAAAATCACAGCTGACTTCGTGTCAGCATCCCCACGCCCGTCCTCCACCTCTCTTTCCCCTACTGTCGCATTAAAGGCTTTCCCTCGCTCCAACTCATGGAGCGCTAAGGGGGCTTTCCTCCATGTGTGTGTGGGGAAGGAAAGCAAGCCGGCTTCAGAAGGAGGAACTCAAGCTTGCATGAGATTGGTGGCAGCAGCGGCTGCTGCTGTGTCTGAAGCTGCGGAGAAAGGCTTTTCGACCAAGATCAGCCCCAGGATCTCCGAGTCAATTGCGATCAACATCTTGGACATACCTGATCTAGTCCAATCACCTGCTATACAGGAATATGTAGCTGTCCCTTACGGGGATCAAACCTGCAACCCTGGAGTTATCAGCACCACGTTCTAACCAACTGAGTCCAAAGAAAAAGTGTCTGAAGACCGCTATCACATAATGTTTGTTTTGATCTTCAGTTTTTTCATGACCTCTGTAGTTATTTCTCCCCCATTCTCCACCCCACAAAACTGTATTTTATTTTTTTTAATGAAAATCTATACATTCTCCTTGGAGCCATCTATCTGGGCTACCAGTAAATGTCCTAATTAGCAATCTGCACACAAGTCTTCTCCAATTTATGTATATAGATACGCTACCTGTCTGTATAATAGCAGTAACAATACAGTCCTTGTCCTGGTATTCAAACAGAGATGATCTTATCTCCTGTAAAACAAGTGCTAGTGTAAACTAAAGGCATTCTCTTTCCCTAAGCTGCCAGCCACCCAAAAAGGTCAGGAAGCTCATTTTCCTCGAGTCGCAGCCAATAAAACTGATACCAGGGTGGGAACATCCAAATAAACATCCACAATAATTTTTGCATAGATGTAAAGCGACACCGGAATTGAGATGCAATTATTTCGCATTTATTGAGGAAGGAGATGGCTTATTTGGTGTGTCAAGGATTTCCTCCCTTGAGAGGCAGAGAAAGCAGTCACTGAAAGGTCTAAACTTTTATGATGTGTCTACATGGCGGCAGCATTTAAGCAGGTATTCCTCCCCACTAACCATCATGTGCACGATTTGCACCAAATTTAAAGCCATTTCAAAGCAACCCTTGTGGGACACTTTAGGCCACAGTTTACAGCAAATGAAGATTCAAAACGAGCAAAAAAAGCATTTCATTTAATGAGGGGAATTAACTGCGCTCTACTGTAGGCAACAGTAGTTTTCTGTGTTTGGGATGCAAAGTCAACTGAACCTGAAAATCTAATTTGATAAGGCTCTGGCTGTCTGGCTTTGTCAAATAAGGAGCATGGAGTTACGAAAATGAAGGCACTGCTTATTTCTTCTTTTTAAATATAGAATCTGTGGTAATGCTGAAATATTGTGAGCATGGGTCCTATTTTGCTAGTCCTACTTCTGGCACAGTACTAATTTTTTGGCTGCAGGTAGTGTTTTACAACTGTGTCACAACTGTACCACAAAATTTGATGGCAAGTTATACATTTAAGGAAATTTTATTTAAAAATAAATATTGTGCTAGCTTTTTTCTTTTTTAGTTTTCTTCTGCAGAAGTAAAACCTAGACCTAAAGGCATTTCTTTTTTTTCTTTTTTTTGCACTAGCTTGAAGGGGACATGGGTGGTGCTGTGGTCTAAACCACTGAGCCTCTTGGGTTTGCCGATCAGAAGGTCAGCAGTTTGAATCCCCGCAACGGGGTGAGCTCCCGTTGCTCGGTCCCAGCTCCTGCCAACCTAGCAGTTTGAAAGCACACCCAAAAGTGCAAGTAGATAAATAGGTACCACTCTGGCGGGAAAGTAAACAGCATTTCCGTGTGCTACTCTGGTTTCCAGAAGCAGCTTAGCCATGCTGGCCACATGACCTGGAAAAACTGTCTGTGGACAAACGCCAGCTCCCTCGGCCTGTAAAAAGAGATGAGCGCCGCAACCCCAGAGTTGTCTGTGACTGGACTTAACTGTCAGGGGTCCTTTACCTTTACCTTTTTAACCCATAGAAAGATCCACCAGGATGAGTGGGATTAGCATCCAGCACATCTCTGGCTGAGCCACGAGGTTCCTGGTGCAGACTGGCTATGCTGGCATAGCTCCCCATCCTCAGTGCAGTGGGAAATAAGCCAGCGTATCTCTCCCATCCTGGCTGGGCAAGGGTCTGATGGAGCTTACCCTGGTGTAAATCATGAAAGAGGGTCATTCCAGGGGCAGGACAGGGGGGAGAGGGAGTTAGGCTGGACCCTAAGTCTGTTCAGCATGGTCACATGACCTCGGAAGTGAGAGTAAAATTAAGCTGGCAGAAAGGGTGGTGTCATTCAAACTCTATTTAAAGGCTTAGGCAATAGTGTTTGGATCTGATGTACTTTATTCTAGTTTAGCTTTACACCAGCTTCATGACAGCCTCTTGGGTATAGGATTGATCCATTCTTTTTTAAATATCAGATTAGAACCAGGAAGAATAAGACTCAGACAGGTAGCCGTGTTGGTCTGACACAGTGGAAATATATAAAAAATATATAAAAAATAAAATAAAATTGTCCAGTAGCACCTTAGAGAGCAAGAAGAATAAGGTTCAAGTCCCCATTCAGTAGTGAGGAAGTCACTACTTCTTAGCCTCATAGGACATTTGTGAAAATAAAATCGGAAGAAGCAGGAGTAGGAATGAGATAGAAGTTTGATTTGGTTCACACTAAAAGGCAAATTTATCTAATTTGCACTTTCCAAAGCAATGTACAAACCAAAATATATCCAATTTTTTAAAAATCACATCTCCACAGTTTGCAGTGTAGTTCTCCAGCCAAGTAATGTGGACAAAAATACATAAAGTGGGGTAAATTGTGGGGTAAATTGAGCTTCGAATGCATCTATTATTGAAAATAACACAAATAACTGCATTATATTATGGGAAATTGCTTTGCAATAATGTGTCTATTATGCAAGATTATATACAAAAATTCACACTAAAATTTTCATAGGAACTTTTATTATTATTTTTAAAAACACAAACTTACGTTGAAATGTGAAGAACCAAATTTAAGACTGAAAAATGAGAACTGATAAAAACTGAAATGGATAGATTTGCCCATCCTTAGTGGGGAGAGAAAACCATAATACTGTCCTGAGCTTTTTAGAGGAAGGGTGGAATAAAAATGCAATAAATAAAATGATGTTTTATGATAGTGCACTGGTGTAGTTGTTAGTGCAACCTATCCTGAGCATTCATGTGCTTCATACATCAGGTCTTACAATCAGGCTGTGACACTTTCAGTGGGCTTAATTCCTCAGTCTTAAATAAGCATGGCTATTATTCTTTGGAGACACCAGCAGACATCCTGCAAAGGTCATACTCGATGCTTGATCTATTACCAATAGTACAAGTTGAAATGATTTTTGTATCAATGTTCCTATTCGATTTTATAAATAATCCAAATCCCCTATGGTCTTGTTAATAAGAGAGATGTCCCACTCACACATCAGTGTGGAAACTGGAATGGAAGAAGACATAATTTGATGCTTTCAAAAAGATTATAACTGAGACAGCTGTCAAGGCACCAGATAGTGTGTCCCCCCCCCCCACACACATAAAATTGTAGATACTTTCTTATTCAAGGATAGTTTTTAAAAAGAAACTTACAAATGAGTACTTACTTCATTGTACCTTGGAACCACACACAGATCTGAAAAGGCTTAGGGTGCAATCCTGCCCTCCATATGTGGACTCAAGGACACAGAGATTCCACATGTGGGAAAATATGGAATAGTGGACACTCTATTCCTTTTGCCCCTTTCATGAAAAAGAGAGCTGGGATAATGAGGGTGCCATGAACTGGTTGGACACAGAGGAATGATGGGAGGAACCAGCTGGGGAACCACCAAAGGAAGAAGGCTCAGGGCCTGGGGAATGGTGGCGGGACAATGGTGAGTGGCCAGAGGCAGAAGACTGGGGAAAGGAGGTGTTAGAAGCTGAGGAGGTAATGAGGCTTAGTGGGCTGGACAATCTGTGGCAGAGAGAAGTCGAGAATCGGAGGCAGAAACTGAAGCAGGAGGGTGGGAGGAGAGACGCTAAGAGGCAGAGGTGAGTCAGGCTATGTCACAGGTGTCTCCCCCTTCTTCTGTGATCAGCTCCCCTCCCCACTCATCTCCCAGAACCAGAAGAGGCATGAAAAGGGAAGAGGAGGGATTGACCTCTCACAGATGCAGTCTCAAATAGCTTGGGGGGAAACCCTGAAGACAGGAGGTGACCGGCAGCTATGGGGGGGCAAGGACCTTAAGTTTCAGCAACTGCTTCATGGGGGCAAGACCTACGGGATATGAATAGTTATGCTCATTCGACCTGACACTCCTGTGCAGATCCTGTTTTTGCTAATAAAGATTTAACTCCAACATGCACAGTGTGGTTTACTGATGGCTTGCTCCCGACACCTGGGCAGCTATCATCACTGAGCCTAGCCTTTTCCTTCCTCCTCACCCATCCAGATTAACTACTCCATATTATCGGCCTCTGCTCCTCTTTTGCGGCACTGATCACAGCAAGCCCTACCACATGTGCTGCTTGCCAATTTCCTCCAAGCAGACAGAGTAAATGTGTACATGGCTTCAAAGAAGGCCTGGGGCTGGTATTGTATCATGACCCAGAACACTGCTGCACTTTGCTGAGACTCTGCACACTGATGGTTGGATGGTGCCTTCAAGTGCATGGTAGTGGCCCCTTTGGTCCACCATATGTTGTTGGACTCCAACTCCCATCAGCCCCAAACCAGCATTGCCAGTGTTCAGGGATGATAGGAGTTGCAGTCCAGAAAAATACAGAGGTCCAAAGTTGCCCCAACCCTGCTTCAGTGGGTAAAAGGCAGTCAAGTGTGGTGTAGTGGTTAGGATGTTGGACCAGGGCTGGGGGAGCCATGAATCTCACTTGGTGGCCTTACGCCAGCCACCTCCTCACAGGGTTGTTGTGAGGAGAAGATGGAGAGGGGGGAACTGATGCACACCACCTTGAGCAGGATATAAATGTAACAAGAAAATAAGAATAAAATAAAGTAACATGAATAAAGAGGCTACCTCTAGAGGCCCTGTCTGTGGTTTGACACTTTGAAGACTTGTACAAGAAAAGAGGAAGAAAGAATAGGAACAGAAAAATCTAAGATATATAAAAGAGATATAACAAATGAACACATCCCCTGCTCCTAAGGCAGGAAGGCATTGTCCCTGGCTGCCATAGGCATTGAGTTCATATTGTTGTAAAAAAGCACTAAAAGCATGGATTTAAAATGTTGCAAGTGGCAATATTTGTATGTCCTTTGAGGACTTAGAAGGAGAATTTGGAGGAAGGTGTTCTCTTCGTTTTCTGAACAGAAGAGAATGAGGTTCTGATCGGTAGCATTCAAAATGAGTCCTTTGCCTCTTTCTCTGTGCCAAACCACT